AAAAGTAAAAAACAAAGGAAATAAAAGTAAAATAACGTTGAAAAACTAAAATAATTTGAGTTAAAACAAGGGAAAAGAAGCAGAGCGGTGGGGCAAAAAAGGGGGAAAGAGGAAAAAAGAAAAATACGAACATTGCGAGCATGCAATTCCTTCTAAGTGACGGGCTAAGCATTAATTTATAAAATACCTGAAAGAACTACGGAAGAATCTTGCCGAGGGATTTTGAATTTCTTGAAGCAACCGCTCGAATCTCCGGCCATGCGCCTTGGCCTCAATCTTGGCGACGTTCCGGCTAAACGTTGCCTGCAAGTCAGTTAAATTTGTAAAAAAACTTAAAATCTTTGTTATCTGCTTAGTTTTGAAACCTGTAATTAAATCATAAGAATTCTTTTATCGAATGAATGACGCCCAAACTTATGAATTACGATGAATGACGCCTAAACTGACGATGAATGACGATAAATTGCGCGCAAACTTATGAATGACGATGAATGATGCCCAAACTTATGAATTACGATGAAAGACGCCTAAACTTATGAATTACAATGAATGACGCCCAAAATTATGAATGAGGATGAATGATGCCCAAACTTATGAACGACGATGAATGATGCCCAAACTTACAAATGACGAATGAATGACGATTTAATAATCATGAGAATTGTCTTATCGGGATGAGTGATGCCCAGACTTTAGGAAGCCTATTCTGCATCATCAACATTCTCACCCCTCTAATTCCACAACCACAGCCCTTCCCTTTCTTTCCTTGCGTTTATCTCTGTCTTTATCTCCTTTCTCTTCCTTTTCCATTAAACACTGCAACCGTCATACTGTCACGAGGTTCTGTTGCGCGGTTTTGAGTTAAGACGTATATGACTTATTGGACCGAAACGTCTTATCTCATTATTAGCCTCCTTTTCTCATTTTTTCCTGTTTTCTGTATTCAATATGCCTTCGACACTTTGGCATCCAAGGTCAACCTGGTTGCTACAATCAGCTTAACCATTTATCCCAGGATTTAGCTAGAAAAATCCGCCTCGAAAATCGGGCTGAGCAATTTTCTAAGGTGCGAGCGATTCGGTGAAGAAATTATCACGAGATTTCTCAATTTTGAAAAAGATTTACTAGTTAATCTTCATATTTGATTGATTCAAAAAATTTACTAGTTTTTCTAACCTTGGTGATTCTCCTGATGTACTGTTGTCTGAGTGGTGCACGATCCCTGAGCCAGTGAGATCCTCCGTTGGTGCATCCTTCATGAAACTGCGAAAATCCTCCTGCGATGTCATGCTGCAGTCCCCGACGCCATCTTTAAAAAACTGCAAAAATCGCACTGTAAAAGGATACGTTTTTTTTCCCAAACGAAGCTATAAATCAAGTTTCTTAAGATTCTTTGCAAAGACGACACGAAAACTGTGGATTTTAGCTCAAGATGGATAGTTAAAGCAGCAGGACACGACCAGGTGGACTATCGAGAAAACTGCATGCTACTCGTATAATACTCACATTTTAGCCGTCTTCCCCCCCAATTCGCAAAAAAAGGAAAAACCGAAAATTGCATACAAAAAGAGTTATGATAGTCTCATCAATCCACAAATAATTTCGTTTTTCGGCCGAATCGAATAGAGTTTTAGTAGCTGCCTAACGAAAGGAAAAGTTAAAAGAATACGTGGATTCTGCCACTGCGGCAAAAAGAACCTCTTTAACGGCTCTACCGGATTAAGTGGATAAGCGATGCTCAAAACAGAGAAGAATGGAGAAGTAGCCAACTGCAGCAGCAAGCAATGGTAGCTAAAAGCACACTGAAAATGCTGCAAATGAAACGGCTATATGTACATGCATCTAGCTCCGCCCCTTCTCTGTGGTATTCGTTTATGCTGTAAAACCTACACTACGGATTGTCGCACAATTCTCAAAATTCCCGCAATTGATGAGATTCGAGTTTTTCCAGGGGTCCGGTAGTTATGGCAAAAGGCCAAATGCATTGCTCTCGTTGTCCATAATCTTTACTAATCTTCGACAGTCCACTTTTGGGGTACTTAAGTGGGGCGTATAAAGGGGTGGGGGTGTGCGTACGGACGGGCTTTCCGCCTCTCCCCTCCCCCCCCCCCCCCCCCCCCCCCCCCCCCCCCCCCCCCCCCC